GGAGAAGGCCCTTTTCATTGAGAGAGAACAAGAACAAGATGGCTGGGCAGAGATTTCCGTTGATGATTTATCTAGGCCACCATCCTTGTTCCCTGGCCCTTGGACCTCTCTCTCAAGTTTGAAAAATAACTCACTCTTTTAGGTGACAATGTTAGTTATTCCAATATAAATTCATATGCCGAGGTTACATAGTCCCTTTGAAAAGCACTGCCCCCAAATGGGAGGCAATTTAACTGAAGAGTTATGACTACAATAAGAAGTAAGAAAGAAGCCAGGCGCAGTGGCACATGCTGTAATCCCAGCAGCTCAGGAGGCTGAGGCAGGAGGATAATGAGTTCAAAGCCAGCCTCAGCAAAAGCGAGGAGCTAAGCAACTCAGTGAGACCCTGTCTCTAAATAAAATATAAAAATATGTGGCTCAGTGGTCAAGTGCCCGAGTTCAATTCCTGGCACCTGCTCCCCACTCCCGAAAAAAGAAATAGACAAAGGTCAAGTGAAAGAATTTACACTGGTGCAAGCAAGCAGGCACTACAATACAACTTCTTCCTATTGGGATAATTTCCATCTCAATATCAGCAGGAAAGAACAACCCTGCTAACTGCTTAAGCTCAACAAATGAACCAAAGTTTAGGGAAGAACTAAAGGGGGAAACAAAAATATGGAAAATGTGAACTCTTGCCTCCAGAATCTCTTGAAACCCAGGGTAATTTCTGAAAAATGGTTAGCCTTAAAACATCTACCACTTCAATCAGGAGCTAACTGATGTATCAAATATTTATTGCTCACTTGCTGTTTGTCATTCATCATTGTAGATGCTAGAGACGGAGAAATAAAATAAAAAAGATCCTGCTCTCCTGTAGTCTCTCTCTTGTGGGAAAGATAAATAGCAAGCCAGTAAAAAATATTTTCAGATAGTTTAAAGTACCAAGAGAGACTGATGAATCAAGAGTACCCGAGAGGCCAGGACAGATAGGGTGACCAGGGACAGCTCTTCTAAGGATGTGACATGTGAGCTGATACCTGACAAGAAGTGGCCAGCCATGGGTAGATGAGGCAGAGAGTCTTAAGGTAATAAACCAGCAGGTGCAAAGGCCCTGATGTGGGCATAAACTTCAAGTTCAAAAAAAAGAAGCCTAGGTGCTCAGGGTACAGATAGTATGGGGTAAAGGTCCTGGTGAAGGTAAGGGAGGTGCAGATGAAGTGAGGGACACAAATATGGGGAAGTATGGAGCTTTAGTGGCCTGCAAGGGCCAGGTCACAAAGAGGCTGGTTGACCAAAAGGAGTTCAGATTGCCTTCTAGGCACAGTGGGAAGCACTTGGACAGATTTATTCAGTGGAATAACATAAACTCTAGAGAGAATTTTTTTTTAATCTCGACGTCAGTACTAGAGGAAAAATTGTATTTTCCTTGACTAGGTGGTATAATTCTATGACCAACTTGTGATAAATTATATCTCCCAAGTTCAGATTAATGCTGTAGTCACCATCCATCCACACAGATAGAGGTCTTTTGGCACACCATTCTGTGTGCTAACTTAAATTCCATCTTCATTACTCTCACTCTCTTTATTTCTATTTTGCCTTAATTTCTTCACCTATTGTATGAATATGTGCTTTTGTCAACTGCCTCAAATCCTTTTGGTGGGTTTTTAATAAATTTAAATTTAAAGACAAGACAGAATCTCTCATATTATCTCTTTCTAGTTTTTACCATCCAGTGCTAAAATAGTTACCTTTGAGGATTCAGACTTCATCTTCAGATCGATGTGTAAATTTCACACTTTCCCAGAGAACATTTCAAATGCTCACAGAATTAAACAAATAAAATTCTTCTTACATGATAACCATTATCAAAACAAAAAGTTTTACAGTAAAATTTCTTGAGCTTCTGTAGTAATCAGCAGAGGGCCTCATGTTCTCTGCAGGGTTTCCTGTTTAGGCATGATCAAGTTCACCTCTTCTCTATCATCAGGTTCAAGACAATCCTGAAGGACTAATTTCAGTGGGTCACTGAAGGGAATACAGATTGGGCATCTCAAATCTAAAAATCTTAAATCTGAAATGCTCCCAAATATGAAACATTTTTTTTTTTCCCTTGGTGGTGCTGGAGAATGAACCAAGCCCTTGCACATGCTAGGCATCTTGAGCCACATTTCCAGTCCTAAAGTCTAAAACTGTGGAGCACTGACATGATGCCACAAGCATAAAATTCCATACCATGAAACTGTTTCATGCACAAAATTATTAAAAAAGTTGTATGCCATCACCTTCAGGCTATATATGTATAAAGTCTATATGATATGTACATGAATTCTGTGTTCAGAATCGGGTCTCTGCCCCCAAATATCTCATTATTTTATGAAATATTCCAAAATCTGAAATCCAAAATACTTTTGATCTCAAACATTCCTAATAAGGGATATTTGACCTGTACTTAGAACCACTGGCATTGACATACTAATGTCTGTCACGCAAAAGAACTTTTTATAGTGAGATTTGTAACTATATTCCCTAGGAGGTGCTCCATAGTATGTTTCAAAAATGGCTCACAACTATTTGTTCTGCTAGACAGCTGGGGCAGGTGACCTCACAAAGAAAGCTGCACTTGCAAGGCCAGAGGGCAGAGCTCTGGGGGTGGCAAGTTCCATTTGCTCCTTCTTTCCTTCCCACTAGCTCACTCTTCAGAAAAGTGCAAAAAAGGATACACTACCCCCAAGGACACTGGGCAAATACACTGGGCAAGGGCATTGGAAGGGAGAGAGGGAGGGAAGGAAGAAGGAATAAAGGATACAGTGGTAACATTTCAAACAACAGAGCCCTGGTGGGTCTACCAGCCTCCAAACTACCAAACTTTAGTTATGCAGAGAAGGAAACTCTTGATACCATTATCTCTGTTGGCTGTGGATCTCAGCTTCGGCATTCCAGCCTGGAATAGTCCTCCCAATCCAGGAGGTCCACCACCTCCTGTGCCACCGCTGCTCCCTCCTCCACCAAAGCCACCACCTCCACCAGCACCAGCACCTTTCGGTTCTGCAAAAGGAAGAAAACACATATATGAAAATACCCATCCGAGTACACTACCATCCGTAGCCCATGGAGACCACAGAACGATGAAGCAGGGAGCAGGCTGAACCTGGTCCTCTGGTAGACACTGGGATTTCTTCATTCAAGTGCAGGATTTTAAGGGTTTTCCTTACTCTCAATCAGGACAGAGAGGTTTCTTTCCACTGAAGGGCAGTCCTAGGCCCGGGGATGGAAGAAACTGTAAGAGATGATGATTTGTTCCACATTCCTCACCTGGCCATATGGGTTAATATCTACTAGGACAGAGTTAGCAAATAAAAGAATCTTCAAAGGAAGAGCCCCCCTCCCAAGATTTTTTTTTTTTTTTTTTGGTGGTGCTGGGGATTGACTGGCTCTTGTGCATGAGACAAGTGCTCTACCACTAAGCTACATGCCCAGCCCCAGGATTGTACTGCATTTTAGAACATTAATGTATTATAATTTATTTACCCATCCACTTATTTGATAGCTTTTTAGGCTGATTTAATTTTTTTAATATCAAGAAGTCCAACAGTAGGCTTTTAAAATTTTGTTCTTTATAGATGTTTGTGACATTAGAATGTCTTTTGACATTCGTGCATGGAGTATAACTTATTCTAATTAGGATTCCATTTTTGTGGTTGAACATGATGTGAAGTGACACTGGTCTTGTATTCATAGACATTCAAATTAATATGGAAGAACTGACATGTTCATGACTTTTAGGCTTCACATGAGGAAATGTGGTCAATTTTCTGATTTATTCATGTCTTCTGGATTTTTGGGAAAAGTTTTATAGTTTTTATGATACAGGTTATACATGCTTCTTATTAGGGTTTCTGAACATGTTTCTGAACATGTTTTTGTTTATTTAAATTGTGGAAGGGACATTTTTCCTATGATATTTTGGAGTTGGTTACTATTGGCATCAAGAAATATCATTTGCTATCTCATAAGTCACTATGCTATGTATCACAAATTAAAATTTACAAAAATTTTGTGACTCACATTTTCTAGCGGATACACAGTCTGTAAATGACAATGGTTTTGCCTCCTCTTTTCTAAGCTGTAGATCTTATTTCTGTTTTATACAGGGGATTACTTTGATGTCTGAATTTATAGGAATGTAAATTATTAATGTTGCTAAAGGCAACCATGTTCTGATTTTAATGAGAATGCCTCTAATGTTTCAAAGTTAAAATATTAACTATTGGTTTGAAATATATTTTTTTCCTTTCTAAATATTTACAGTTAGGAAGTATCCTCCGATTATAGGTTTATGAGATTTTCTTGCAGCATAGAATTTTATCAATTTAAGATCTATGGTAATTATATGGTTTTTATTTTTTGATATAATGGATAAATAGATGTTCAATCAAGCATTAAAAATGGGGAAAACCTTGGTCTTGGTGAATTACTCTTTTAACACATTATTGAATTAGATGTTTTGGTTTTTTGCTTCATGTTCTCCCACCCATGATAATAAGAGGTCTATGGTGAAGCTTCTTGATTTTGGAACTACCGTACTGACATTTTATTTTAGAATGATTCTTTTATATGGGTGGATATTCTATTCTTTATACAATGTCTACACATCTCTGGCCTCTACACACGAGGTGTCCCCCACATCCACTGAAGGTGTGGTAACTAAAAATGTCTCCAACATAAACATACAAACAAACAAACAAAAAACCAAGAAGATTTAGGAAAATGTCTTTAGACATTGCCACACGTGGGAGGCAAAAATCACCCTGACTAAAAATCACTAATGTATAACTTCTTTTTCTGAGTTTTGCCTTTGCCAAATTTTGATCTCCACTAGAATGATAGTGGTTTCATTCCATCTATCAGCCAGCTAGCTTTCCATGTCTCCCTATTTGGGAATGATTTATACAGCATTTGAATCAGCTGGGTTTTTTTTTTTTTTTAATTTGAAAGAATTTCCAAAATAAAACCAACTGGCTCCAAAACTTTTTGGAGAAAAAATAATGGATAAAATGTTTTCATCTTTTTCCTCACTCAGTGAGGCTTCGTAAGTGAAGTTTGGTAGATTTACGCTTTCTTAGAAAACTAATATAAGATCTTTAAATATTTTAAACGTTTTAAAATGTACTTTCATTATACTATCCTTAATTTTAGAAAATCTGTTTCTATTCTTTTATCTGCTTTTGAGGTTCTCATTTTATTCATGGGTATTTCTTTTTTTCTGTGTTAGATTTATCATAGGTTGGTGTTAGCTCTGTATCTTTTCCAGGTGTGAGGCTTTGGGGATGCTTTAGTAGCTCTGCTGACAGAAGAAATAACCCGATAATGAGGTGATGATTACTTCACCTAATAGGATAAATCAAATTAGAATAACAATCTCTAGAGAGTATGTAAAATTGCTTCCACATAAAAACATTTAACCAGTTTTGATTATTACCAATTTAACATTGCCCTTGTCATTCAAACATTATTTATTAATGAATAATACATTTTGAAGTGCTGCTGAGGACACAAAATTCAAAGAGATCACTATATAATCAGGTATCCTCCATCTGGAGCATTTGTCCATCTTTCAATAGAGAAGCGCTATGGTTTGGATATGGTTTATATGTAACCCCCAACAGTTCATGTGTTGAAAGTTTGGTCCTCAGTGTGGCGAGGAGAGTGGTGGTGGGACCTTTAGGAGATGGGGCCTAGTAGGGAGTAATTAGGCCTCAGAAGGAATTAATACAGTTCTCACTGGACTCTGGTTAGTTCTTGAGAGAGGGTTGTTATTAAAGAAAGAAAGCCTGGCCCTCCCCTCTCTCTGGCTTCCTGTCTTGTCATATGTTCTTTCCCTCTTGCCTGTGCTCCCACCACTGTGATACCATCTGCCACGAGGGCCTCACCAGAGCCAAGCTGATGCCAGCGCAATGCCCTTGAACTTCCAAAACAGTGAGCTAATTAAGAGTCTTTTCTTTTATTAAAGCACCCAGTGCCAGGTATTTCATTAATAGAAAATGGAGCAAGGCATGGTGGTGCATGTCCATAAGCCCAGCTATTTGAAAGGCTGAGGCAGGAGCTGGAGGCTTACCTGGGCAACTTAGCAAGACCCTGTATCCAGAAAAAAAAAAAAAAAAGAAAGAAAGAAAGAAAAAGAAAAAAGGTCTAATACAAAGGCTAAAATTGAGCATAGCTAACTGACTCCTGGTCATTTTGTGAAAACTGTAAGACAGGGATGGATTCAACAGATATCATGCATAATTGTGATCCATATTTTGATATAGAGCCCAAGGAGGTTGCACATGCAAACAAATACAAAACCATAGATGAACTTTCGTTACTTATAAAGAGCTTGTGACTGCAGTGTAGGTACAGGGATGACAAAGGTACTCACTGGGTTACTCATTTCCACCAAGTGAACTACACTCTGGAACATCACAAAGAAGTTGGAGGATAGAGGAACTAACAGTTCACATGTAATAGGAGAGAGGACCTTGAAGGATGCAATGAGTTTCCACTTGTGGATTCAGGATTAGGTCCATGCTGTTTAGGTTCCTTTAACATTGGTGGGGAATTCACGCTCATCTCTCAGGGGCCCTAAGCCCCTCTCATAATGAGAGAGCTGCTGGCTTCTGTCCTAGAGTTCAGTAGCTTCTCTGGCTCCATACCAGGGACCACAACTCAGATGGTTGCTAGAACAAGGCTCCCTGATATAATTGATTGTGCTGGGAATTTTGTGACCCTGATGGGCATTTTGACCTATAGGTCAGACTGTGTCAAGAATCAAAAACCCCCTAGTTCCTTTTTTGATGAATGGAACATTCTCATTTTCATTACCTTGCTTGAGAAGCATTCAGAAGACTTACCTTGATCATCTTCTCTATTTTTCTCCCACACTTACTTTATTCTGATTGACCCTTCTTCCTTCTCTACCTACTAGGCACTTTTCCCAGCAATTTCCCCCAAACTTCTAATCTTCTACTTCCCTAAAACCCTGCACCATTATTCGCTTGTCTACAAAGCTCCATTTGATGATTTTTTTTTTTTTTTTTGAGGGCAGGCCTATTTCCTACTAGGGTCTAATGGGATCTGTGATCTAGGATGAACCTTGGGGACATCTCATGAGTAGTGGAAAGGTCTAGGGACATGAAAGGACAGTGTCAAGACATGATTATTAATTATTAGTAGATTCTTAGTGTTGGAATAATTAATTATTAGTGGTGGATGATTTTTCATTCAGTTGTAAGTGTTAATGAGAAGTCTTGTGTTGTGGCTACTTGCCTGTTTATATGTACCCTGCCTTGGTGCAGAAAGTATCTCAGATTCAGATGGACAAATAAGCAAAGTCGTGATCTCCTTTCCTCGCTCCTAGTAATAATCTTACACTAGAATTACACCTTCCAGATAACAGAGCTTTTTTATAAAGGTTATCTCATCTTAAGCTCACAACAAAATTGGGAGGCAGTAGGACAGGTGCCATCTTCACAAATGCAGACCATGGGCTTGGAGATGGCACATGATGAATGTGCCAGGACCTGGACCCACTGCTTTGACTCCAAGGCTAGGGCACTTTCCATATTTCATGCTGCCTTCAGATCTGTGGTGCCAGGAGCAATGAGTTAACCTCCAAAAAGTGTGAATAATTCAGAGAATTGCTGCTGTGTATGCCTTGGACAAAGAATTATTATACTGGCTTCCTGCAGCATTAGAGGGGAATGCAAGCCAAAGCTGTGGCCCACAATGAGGGACACAGTCACTTATTTTGCTAGCTTTGCAGCTGTTGTTAACCAAAAAAAAAAAAAAAAAAAATTGGTGGGAGGTGTAGGGTTGATTGTTAGGCTACCAACCATTTATCTCTTTGGAAAATAGATTTTTCACTTACTGTCCAATATTGGTGCACTTCTGTCATTGGTGACCGTCTTCTTTAGTTTCTTCCCTTTATTGATGTCAGAGAGAAGAGCATTTCTTCCAGCCTGCTCAGACTTATTCAAGGTAGGCTTCTCTGTATTGGCCTGAAAAGAAAACCACAAGAACTTGTATGCGGTTCTTGGATTCAAATCAGGCGCTATAATACTCAGCTGGATAGGCAAGATATTGGAATCTAGTTATTAAGGTTCTTGGTGATAGCCTGTAGATTCTCCACAAGTTTTAGACTCCATGTCATTCTTTTTAAGACCCAGATGTTTGGGAGCAGATGTAGTAATAAATCGCTTTCATTTTCAAGGCAGGGAGAGTCATTCCCTGATGAAAATCTCTAAAGATTCAGGCCACAGTCTGGCCTTAACCAACAGAGCCAAATTAGGGTGAGACGGCTATGCACAGAAGGGAATTCTAAGTCTGAGAGGATTCTGCAGGATGTGACTAGGCTTCATTCTTCAGGGTGGGTCCTGAAGAACAGGATCCCTCCCATCTTTCAGAAGTAACCTGGTGCAAGGCAAAAATGGTCTCTCATCAACCAAAATCAATGAGACAGTTTTAGAAAACAATTTCCTTTGAACACATTGACAGAGAGGCTTTTTTAAAAATTTAAGTCCTATATATTGAGGTATAATTTATGTATAGTGAAATCATCCTTTTAGTTTACAGTACTATGAACTGTGACAGAGGTATACAATTGTGGAACCACCGCCACAATCAAGATATAGAAACATTTTCATTACCCTAGGGAGTCCCCTCATGTCCCTTTGGCCTAAGGTGGGTCTGATGTTTAATCTCTTTAAATGTTTAGTTCACTGAAATTGCAGAGTGAATAAAAGTGCTGCTTTAAAATGTTTGGGGATTTTTTTTCTCTGTATTTCCAAGTTCCTGGGAAAGCTCCTTGCTAGGAATTTGGGATCTTGTTCGTTCAGGGCTATTTTAGGAATGGGGACACCAAGAACCCAGCATATGAGCTTGGAAGTAGGCATCTGCCTGTGTCTGTCACACTTGGAACTGGCTGGGTCTTGCTTTGTCCCAGGGTGAGGGTAACTGCTACAAAGCCCAAGGTCCTTCCAGCAGACCTGAGGGTCCTGCTGGGCTGTCCCAATCCTTATCAAAGGGATGTGACTTCAGATAAGCAAGTCAGGACTAGAAGAGGTAAATCTGGTGTGTGGCTTGATCCATACCCAGACTTTCACTATCAGAGTTAGAGGCAGAGATAGCGTTCAGAAGAACCCTGAAGGTGGCTACATAGGATTACTCTGTGTTCAGTTGGAAGCATCTTAAAATAATTAAATTATAACATATTACTTCCTTATAATAATAATAGTTAACATTTATGTAGTTTGTACTCTGGGGCAGGCACTCTTTTTCTAGCACTTTGTGTGTATTATTTCATTTAGTCCTTACCAAACCTATGGGTTATTATTTTTATTTTAAAGAAAAGAAACTGAGATATAGGGAGGTTAAATCATTTGCCCCATTGGCTTACTCAGGGCACCGGCAAAGCCTGCTGTATCACAACTACGACAAAATGTAAATGCCCTTAAACACATGCTTGTATGCCAGGTTTGTACTTTGTTCGGCTTGTTTTATGCATAGAAAGTAAGCAGACAGGAGACACTCACCAAAGCAAATGTTAGACTTTTTAGCAATACTCTGTTCTAATATTCCTCCCTGCTTTCCCACCAAAGTTAACCTTCATGCAGGTCAAATTTTTAAAAGGAACAGGATTACTTTGTTTTGAGAACTGCTCTGGAAGGACCTTAGCAGGGGGTGCTTCTGAACTGAGGTGCTTAAAGAGAGTGAAGTCAAATCCAGTGCTCAAACTTACCCAACTCCAGCCCCATCGCTGCAGACCCCAGTAGAATGAGGGGGCCTTGGGGCCTGATGGACAGAGCAGTTTTTAAGAGGAGGAGCCAGGATCTAAACCCTGGCAGTCTGACTCTAGGATCCTCCTTATAATCTGACAGAAGGGTAAATATGGCCTCTATCATAGCCCTTCCCCATCTGCCCTCAACACTCCCCAGGAGCAGCCTGTGAAAAGCTTCTCAGCTGTCCTTTCAGCTTTAAAAATTACCTACTATCTTCATTTTAAGAATAAAAATAAACTAAGGCCCAGAGACCTTAATGGACATGTCCACACTGGGTGTTTTAAGAGATTTTGGGTCAAACACCATTAGCAGTCTTCTATTCTACTTCAAAGTTTATTTTCATACCTGACCTCCTTGGATGCTTTCTTCTCTCATGTGGCACACAGGGCCTTGACTGTACTGTTCCACAGGACAGGGTCCCACCCTACCTTTCCCTTTTCTCCTCTCTATATCCTATTTCTCTAAGATCTTGCTTTGAATTAGATAATAATGGATAAAAATGAATTAGTAGGATAAACAAGGGTTTTGTAAACTTTAATCCTCTGTTACAGTGTTCATGATTTTCACATCTTCTCATGTCACCTGTCTTAATTTAATATTTTTCATTAAGTCAACTTACTATATTATTTCCTATACTATTTGCCAATGAACATTTTCTTTTAAATTAACTCACTATCAAACCCTTGGTTTGATATGCTAGTTATAATTTTTAGAACACATGTTAAAATAAATACATAAGCATTAAGGTTTTTAAAAATTCATATTTGGGAGAAATATATATATATATAAACCAGTCCTGCCATGTTAGCCAGATCAGAGCTTCTCAAACTTATTCATTCAAGGAATCAGTTTCTAGAATTTTGTTCTAACCCATCACAGTCTGACATTTTGTAAAATAACAATGGATTATTATAAAAATGAATTGGTTTTAGAAGAAGACACAAATTCAATGTTAGAAACAGACACATGACTACCATCAAAATTCTCTGAATGATTCCCAACTCTCAATATCTGGGCTTATCTCCTTGGGTCACTGATAAGGTGGAGGACCATGTATTCAGGAGCAAGGAGGTGGTTAAAGGTCAGTTCTTCCCAGCTAAATTCTCACCTCAGATGGATTATCTAAATGTGTGTCAAAGCAACCTGGAGGAAGAGACTTTCCTCTTCTCGTGCCTCAGTTTTCCCACAGGAATAATGAAGGGACCATCACTGTGAGGTTCCTTTACAATGAAGGCTTCGGTGCTGGGGAGGCCTCTGTAATGGAGTGTGGCATCCTGGAGATGAGGCTCTGATTTCCTTTACCAGGCATATCAAGGGATTAGGATAAATGCAGTAAAGAAACTCTTTTGGGAAGTCAACAACTGGAATGCAAGCATAGGTTTAAAAGGGGATGGCATGTGTGGAGGAGAGGCGGGGGTGATGCTGGTGGACATAATATTTGTCAAAAACAGAGTGAGAAGAATGAGGGGAGACAGCAGAAATAAAGAAAGGGAACTTGAAGACACTGCATGCACTGCAGACAAAGACTTGTGTTTCTGGATGGTTCTCCCCAACAATAAAAGTCTAGATGTTGAATTCATTTGAATGGAAACAGTGCTTGCTGGCCTCCAAACTGCTCCTGCAAATCCCTGTCATGGGTGGTCTTGCTTCCTTTGATGGACAGAGCAGGGGAAACCTAATACTTCACATACCATGCCTCATAGGAGACCTTCACCAGAAGAACCCTTCGTGCTGTTTGGATTCGGGTGGTCTCAGGGTTTGGCTTACTCAGGGCCCTGGCAAAGCCTGCTATATCACAACTACGAAAAAATGTAAATGCCCTTAAACACATGATTGTATGCCAGGTTTGTACTTTGTTTGGCTTGTTTTATGCATAGAAAGTAAGCAGACAGGAGACACTCACCAAAGCAAATGTTGGTGGTGGTGGGGGTGCTGGCGGGGGAGGGACAGGCATCTTGGATGGTTACGCTTTCAATAGTCTTGATAAATCTGTAAAGACAAAACACAGACAGACGTTAGACTTTTTAGCGGTAGTCTGTTCTAATATTCCGCCCTGCTTTCCCATCAAAATGATAACCTTCATGCAGGTCAAATTTTTAAAAGGAACAGGATTACTTTGTTTTGAGAACTGCTCTGGAAGAGGGGTGCTTCTAAACTGAGGTGCTTAAAGAGACTGGAAGTCAAATCCAGTGCTCAAACCTACTCAATTCCAGCCCCTTTGCTGCAGACCCTAGTAGAATGAAGGGGCCTTGGGGCCTGTAGCTGAGTCAGCAGGAAGCTTTTCATGAAAGTACTAGAAATGGCAAAGTGTAACCGTGATATACCATTGTTTTTATTTGGCTGCCTGTACTAAAACACGTTCGGCAACAAACTAACTCCCTCACCTCTTTGTGCTATTTAAAGCAATAAAAATTTTTGTTTCCAAAGTGAAAAAAAAAAATGTATCCTGGACAACTTTGATGGAAAAGAAACGCAGCAGAAGTGGCTCTCCTTCATCACTCGCTCCCACACAACTTCCTCTCTTGTTCCTCTCCTCTCAGCCCCCCTTGAGCTGGTATCAGCATTTTAACAAGATCCCTAGGCGGTCCATAGGCACTGGCATTTGAGAAGCCTTGTTGTAGAGTTTTGAGTCTTAAACCAGTGGGCAGCCTGGGACACTGACCTCCGTCCCAGTAACAATTTCCATGCCACAAATGTCCCAAGTTTCAAACAGCAGAATTATTTTCCTTTTATTCTCAATAGTCTTCTGATTACAAAGAACCATTTCTTAGAACTTAAAATATTAATGTAGCTCCATCACTAAATGCTAATGTGGAAAAATTTACACCTTGAAGTAAAAACTTTCTACTGAAAGAATGCTGGATGGCTAGTTTTCTTTGAATACAAACAGAAGGGAGAAGCTAAAAGGATATTGTTGGACTTGTCCCAGACACTGGAAAACAAGAATAAAAACCAGTGGGTACAGTTTTTTCCAAGTGGGCTGTCTAGAAAAATGGAAATTTAAAAACATTTCCACAGCAGCAGGAGCAGCTATCACTTCCTGAGCACTGGTGGATCCAGGCGCTTTATCTACGCTGTCACTAATGCCTACAGCACCAGGGCAAGCTAGTGAGACTCTGCTCATTCATAGCAGAGGACGCAAGACTCAGAGAAATGACCGTTCACTAGCGGGCTCCACGGCAATTCATTCAAATCGGCCCCTTTGGTGCCTGCCCCTCCCCTGGGCCACCCTACCTTGCTTTGTTCCCACCAGTTCAGGCATTTTTAGGGCAACTAGGTAGTGCTGCAGCTCACCTGTTAACTAGCTGGAAAGGTGTTTTTAAGCAAGATACTGTCTCAGACAAGGATTCTTTTCAAATGTGTTCCTTAAATTGGTTTTTCCTGCATGACATCGATCCATCCCCCATGGGGCCAATTAGGCACTGTAAGCAGGGTTGGGCGCCCTTATGAAGGGGGCTCTCCTGCTGTGGAAGACCTTCAGAGGCCTTGGGGCTGGATGTCCTCCAGGACCAGGATGAAGGATAGGGTCTGAAGCTGAACTCAGGCCTGACTATGAAGGATGATGAAGCCAAAGCAACAGTATTAACAGTTGGAGAAGGCAGCTTACCAAGGCAGGGGGTAGCCTGGTCTGCCTGGTGGGCCGGAGAGATGGGTTTCATGGCACAGTTCATCCATGAGTTTGACTCATATGATGTTACTCAAGACTCTTATTTTGTCTGATTTCATGTTAACCAACATGAAATCTGTGATCCTATCCTAATTTAGGAATGATGGATTCTGGCCAACTAGGAACCCCCTGTGGGCTTGGTTCTCATGAGTCAGTTTCTGGTTACAGAAATCAAATTGAATTTTTATACTGCACAGTTCAGGGACCACTGCAAATGGGGACTCTTTCAGGATGCCTTCAAAGGCCTCCTTCATTATTCTAAAATCTCTGCTGTTACAGTTTTAGTACTGTCTGTGCACAAACTGGTTTATAAATAAACTTTTGGACCACATTTGTAGGGGTGGCACGTAGGGGGAACTGAGCTAACCAGAAGGCTAGTGTGAGAGAATCCACAATGGACTTGGCTGGGACTGGGGTCAGGGTCAAGACCATGGCCAGCTTGCAGAAACATACAGTCAAAACCAAGTATAAGAAACTATCAAAGGCTTTAGGGTCTTGCATGAAGTGGGGCTGTCATTTCCTGGCTACCTTAGATCAACAGGGAAGAGGATCTATGAGTGCCTGCTCTCACCTTCTAAGGCCAATGCAAAACTAAGCTCTCTCTTCACTCTTCTGTGCCTGAGGACCATTGTTGCCATTTTTTTTTCCATCTGCATCCCTCACTGCTTTCCAGATGAATTATTCTCACACTCACTTTAATGCTAAGTCTGCTACGCATTCCTTGCTCCTTCCTAGCTGAGTAGCTGCTGGGCAGAATCTGAACTAGTCTGGGCTAGGCTGTAAGGAGAGTCTCCAATCCTGTCATTCACCACACAGATCAAAGAAGACCAGTCTTACATCTCACCATGCTGGGCCTGCTGCCAGACCCACTTGACTGTCTTCCCACCAGACTGTGGACTATACCAGGTCTCCCCAATAGCTGACACAAAGTAAGGTTCTCACTAAATATGAGTGGAGTGAGAACCAAAGATCACATACACAGGCCAAGTGCTTGCCACCAGAATGGCTCTTAACCTCATCCCACCTGCACTGTGAGGTGATGGGCAAAGAATCAGCACTATGTCACGGGGCTTGCTAGCACTAAGTACTGGGATTTGCTTTCCTTACAGCTCTGACTTCTCCAGTGAAGTAAAACCCCAATGTCTGGGAGGCACAGGGGGATTCCCTGATTCCACAGAGTTAACAGCTCACATCAGAACCAGAGATAGGCCTTTCTAAAAGGTCTTGATACCAGAGAAAGACCCTAACTGACTATGCATTCCTGCCTGCATTCTCACACCCACAGAGTCCAGGGGTAGAATCAAGGTCTCCTGAATGCAAATAAAGAAAAGTACAAATTATTTAACATTTCCTTCCATTACAAATGCAGACCACCAATCACAGTGCCCCTAGACTCCTTTACCAATGTTTTTTCACAGAGTACTTCCACGTCATAGTACAAGTGTTGCAGGTCTCTTTTGAAATTCTGACAATGTTTATATCTTGTTGCTTAAACCATTAGTAAAGAAGGGTGTATTTCACTGCAATTAATTTCCTTTGTAATCCTCTGTATTTTATGAGCTTATAAACAGTCATGGAAGGAGACCTTTGGATTTTACCAGACACCAGTATGGTCTTAGGAATGAAAAATGAGAACACGAGACCTGAGTTAAGTGAATGTGGTTCTGAATCCTTACTCTCCGGCCTATTAGCCTGGGTCTAGAACTGAACTTCTCTGAGCATTCCTTTCCCTTCTGTTAAGTGGAGAGTTGCTGGGAAAACAAAATGAACTGTTGTGTGTCAGGTTTCAGCAGAGTTTTGGAGAGAAAGGCATCAGTGGACGGGTCAAGGATCTGTCCTCCCTGATGGTGAGGACAGATCCTGCTGGTATGCAGGCTGCTGAGCACCTAGCAGAGGAGGGACAGACCTGGGGTGAGTGGTGGGGAGGGCTGGCTTTGCCTTCTATGTCTGTAAATAGAGCTGCACCAGGCAGGAATAAGGCAGCCAGGCCACCAGACCTCCAGGGCTCCGCTGGGTTCTTCCCTCAGGAGAAGGCAGCATGGCAGGAAGGAGCGGCTATCAGGGGGCCAAAAGCGGACCCTGAACCAGGGAAAGGCCTAGGCCATTGGATCCCACCATGCAGCCTGTCTTCTCCTGCATCAGAATCAGCTGTCCTGTCCTGCTGCCCACCCTGTTAGAGTCCCCACAGTCGGCCAATCACAGACCTCACCATGAGTAGAGCCTTGTCCTCCTACCCAACCCATCCCAGGCACTGAACTTTTAAAAATATACTTTTAGATTTAATTTCATTAAAAAAATCATTTTGATGCTTAAATAACTTTCATCATAGGGAGACGAGCCACACTTTCTCAAATGTTCACCTGTTGTACTGGGTTTTACATGTGCTAACTAAGAAGACTCCAGGGGTGGAAAAGGTTTGTTTTTACACACAGCATTAGGAACTGAATTATGTCCCCTGCAAATTCATCTGATGAAGTCCTAACCCTTAGTACTTCAAAATGTGACTGTGTTTGGAGATAGGGCTTTAAAGAGGTGATCAAATTAAAAGTAGGACTATTAGGGTAGAGTTGAATTTAGTGCTACTGATGTCCTTATAAAAACAGAAAGAGACACCAGGGACATACACAGGCAGAGAAAGACTATGAACAGATAAAGTAAGAAGGAGCCCTCTGCAAGCCAAAGAGAATCTTCAGCAGAAACCAACCCTAACTCAGAACTTGATCTTGGACTTCTAGCCTCCAGAATTATGAAAAAACAAATTTCTGTTACTTGAGTCACATAGTCTATGGGATATTGTTATGGCAACCAAAGGAAATTAATATACACTATTTTAACATTGTTTTGTTAACATTATTTAAACACTGTTTTGCATTGTTTATTATCCATTGTGGAAATAGGACAATGGCTTTGAATACAATATCCATCAATTGATTTCTTACTCACAATATATCTGGACTGTCAAGATGTTAGAGAATTAAAAAAAAAAATCAGCCTGAACCTTAGTATATGAGTGGTTGTCAAAGCTTTATCTAATAACTAAATTAATCATCCAGGAATCATCGAATTTTAGATGAAGCACAATTGAGGGGAGGCAAAGGATCTGCCATTTTTTAAAAGTTATATTCCAAGTCCTTTATTTTATTTGTTTATATGTGGTGCTGAGGATCGAACCCAGTGCTTCACAGGTGCTAGGCAAGTGCTCTACCTCTGAGCCACAACCTCAGCTCAGGATCTGCTATTTTATAAAGAAGTTATAAGTTAAGAGAACAGAGCAGATTATTTTGCATAAGTGACTTAAAAACTATTGGTTGGTATGGATGTG